TAACTATCGAAGTCTACAACTAATAAGAACAGTATCAAAACAAAGTATATAAAGAGTAAATAGATATTTCCTAGACATTTTTTTTTTAGTTTAGGTATGCAGAAAATGTACATACCTTTTTTATTTCGTGACTGATCTTATTCATGCCGCCATTAAACAAAGCTTGCGCAACACGTGTTCGATGGTCCATGAACTATCGTCGTCTATTAATCTCAAGAAAAGCTAGAGGCACTGTATCAACTTGCCCCGGTCTCCCCTACATATACATATTTTACACGTCATCAGACTTAAGCATTGTTCAGTGAATCAAATTATCCGTAATGCTGCAGCAACAAAGGAACATCAACAATCGTGGGTAACAAAGGAACAACAACAATCGTGGGTAACAAAGGAACATCAACAATCGTGGGTAACAAAGGAACATCAACAACCGTGGGTAACAAAGGAACATCAACAACCGCGGGTAACAAAGGAACATCAACAATTATGGGTAACAAAGGAACATCAACAATTATGGGTAACAAAGGAACATCAACAATCGTGGGTAACAAGGGAACATCAACAATCATGGGTAACAAAGGAACATCAACAATCATGGGTAACAAAGGAACATCAACAAACCATGGGTAACAAAGGAACGTCAACAATCATGGGTAACAAAGGAACGTCAACAAACCATGGGTAACAAAGGAACATCAACAATCATGGGTAACAAAGGAACATCAACAATCATGGGTAACAAAGGAACGTCAACAACCATGGGTAACAAAGAAACATGGGTAAGTAATATTCTCCAGTACAGAATCATATTCTAAACAAAATGTTTATTTGTTTGTAATTAAGCACAAAGCTACACAATGGGCTATCTGTGCTCCGTCTACCACGGGTATCGAAACCAGATTTCTAGCGTTGTAAGTCCGCTGTGCTACTGGGTGTAGTTTCTGTTTGACACTTCCCATTGAAGAAGGGATACGTTGGATTACGACGCGCCTGGGTTGAAGGTTATTTTAAGCTACATTTTGCTTACTGGTGTTTTTTGTTTTCCACAAAACAAAGGAATTTTCAAAATCTTTTACGAAGTTAATCCCTAACAACTTTGCTTAACAATTTTTCTTTATGTTAAACCAAGGGATCAATGAACAAAGTTTAATTAAAATAAAAGGAAAATATTCAGATTGCGTTATCTACAAATACATTCCAACGAAAGGCTATTCATGTGAAATACAAGTCAAAGATTCCTTTTATTGTTTGTGTGTTTTAGACTTTTTCTGCATTAAGGGCCATCTCTGTATAGCCATTCCTAATTCTAAAACACCAGTAAACACCATAAACGGTCATTCAGACGTCGCTAATTTCTAAAATAAACTTATATATCTACAGATAGGTGGCATACTAAACCAAACGCATTCTCATATCAATTCTAATTTTCCAAAAAATTAATGAGAGCTTAGCTCAGCAAAGTGCTGACGTAGACAAAAAAAAAGAGAGACTTAGCTGATAATCAATATTGGTGTTTATGGTTTTAAACTGATAGACAAGAGCAGTGGTTTTAGAGCAAAGCCACACTGGGCTGTCTGCTGTGCCCATCATGGGAATAGAATCCCGGATTTTAGGGTTGTAAGTCTGTAAACTTACCGCTGTTCAACTGGGGGGCAGAGGGGGTTGACAAAGGTTTGCGAAGAAAGAAAACAAATTACCGCACACATCTTTCCCTGACTTTTTGTAAAGAAAGCCAAATCTTAGCGAGCGCTCTGCTCCAATAATCAAACATATCCGCCTCACTAACAGACAAACTGTATCTCGCACAAGACTTACATTATTCTATACTTACATACATGTTTGTGTGAACCGGTAGCGTACTACAATTTTTAATATTTAATGATAATGACATATTGGATTATTGTTTTGTTTTGTGCCAGTTTATGCTAGTGTATTATGTACCTAAAGCGGGTGTCAAGTAACATATACAAGAGGAAGGGTCTGAAAGTTTGAGAATCGCTGGACTAGAGGGAAAAGACGACCACTACCGATTCGTAGGTTACTGTTGTCAGATCGAATATTGAGACCTCACTGTCATTCGTATATCATACCCACGGCCCCAAATTGCGAAACATGTTTTTGCGACAATAGGTCACAAGCCATGAACCCTCGGTTTCACATTTCGAGCAAGCCAACACTTGGTGTGTACCAGTACACGTTATATTTTAAATTCGTTAACTTGCATGAAACACGAAATGTAACATCATATGTAAAACGTGAGCACACATACGACTGGAACAGCTGTGTAGTTGATCTTGTGAAGATATACGTGTCAAATATAAGCAGTAAAAAGAAACTGTACGACCTAGCTTTGGAGCATCTATACCACAATGATAAACCCACCTAGATATTCAGAACACAAAGGTCAGTGGAAATACAATTGTGGGCCGTGCTGTTGTTTCTTAGGTTATATTTAATTGTTTCCATGCCTACTTATCTTAAGCTCTCATCATTCACCGATACACGGCTACTTAGGAACAATCACACCTATACATGTAGAGGTACACAACTGGCGTTGTCCCGTTTCTACTTCCATACACCATGACTGCTTATACACGCAT